AACATTCTAGAATCTCAAATAAGTTGAAAATATACACACCAGAAAAAGGTGTGTCCACTGGCAGGTAGTACTCATCAAAGGGTGCGACAGTGAGCGATACGTTGGGGTATGCTTCGACCCAATCTCTTAGCTGGGCACTGTCAGTCGGATAGTGATTGGGGTCCAGGCTACCGTCTTCGAACATCCTGTACATGGTTTTATTCAAGCCCAATCTATAGGCCAGCTGAGATATCCCTGTAATGTTCGTTCGTATGTATGTAGTTATATTGACATGTGAATTCGAGTGGCCTAGGAGTGTGTGGTGTGCGGGTAGAACGTATATATGCTAGACGACACACATAGACCCACAGATGCGAAGAGAAGTCTGAGCTACACGAATATCGAAACCAGTAACCATCGAGTACCTGAGGAGTATTCTTGGCCTGGATTGGTTTGATTGGACAGGAAAGTGAGACCGCCGGAATCTCGACACATCATTGTGATGATTTTACTTTCCTCGTCGTATTCGGGCACAAAAGTAAAACCGTAACTGTACGTATATAGGAGGCGATGCGGAGTTAGGTACGGGATGACGGAGGAATGTGGGGAAATGTACCCTCGCATTTATACGTATTTAGGGGGGGGTTAGAAGTAATGTACGAAACAGGGAGAAGTGATGAAGGCAGTTCAAAGCCGCACATCTACGTCTATCCGAAGCGTGCGACCATGATGTGAATTCATATGAAAGGTATGCATATATCTTTTGTTTTTATATATCTTTCAACTTTATATATCTTCTTCAGCACAGGCCTTCGGTTCTACACAGGTGCAGACATATCCATTCCTTATACATCGACAGCATCATCGCTTACTATACATTCACTTCGAGCTGTCTAACTTCTGTCTCGTACTTCGATGGTAAAGAACTCGGTACCCAGATAGTGTGGTATACGACTAGCGAGCATCTCTAAATTTCTCACCCTGTACCACACTTGCCATATAACGCAGCCATAAAACACACCCAAACTACATACCCTTTCCCGCTGTCGGTTATGTTCTTCGCGTAGGCGACAAACGTAGGCCAATCCCAACCATCGACCTCCCATGTATCGTTCACCGGCGGGGGATGTTTTAGGCCCAGGTCGTTGAGGGTGGTCCTGTTGTAAAGCAATTGGCGTGTGTCACTGATAAAGGGCAGTACAAACCATTGACCCTCCTGGTTGTAGTCACTGTAATATGTGACGGGGATGTCGTCCAGGACGTTCACAGCCGTTTCCTGTGTAGTAAGGTACGAGTGACTTGTGTGTGAGTGCCGAATCATGCACACACTCCGCACAATAACACAACACCACACCAACCTCCTGGTCCCCCCCACTTCCCCCCCCCTCTCTCCTACACACACACACCTCATATCTCACAACTCACACGACTCAATTAGCGCACACCCACCACCCGCCACACCAACACCACTGCACACATACCTGCATCTCTTTCTGGAGGTATTGATCTAAAGAGATAATGGTGTTCCTGCTGTGGAAGTAGGCCACCTGTGTGGTACCGACTAGTGCTATGTCTGGCTGATTGACCTTTGGGTTGCCCAGCATAGACTGCATAAAGGCCCACCCCACCATCACAAAATTCACCACAAGCGTAGAGGGCTCGCTGTGTTCAAAGTAGTAGTCCTCCAGTTCAGAAGTCGCCTAGTGTCAACGAATGGGAAGGGGAAGAAATGGGAGGGGATCGGAGGGGGGGGGGGGGGGTATGGAGAATAGTGACCAATGTAGTTTATATTTGAAGAAACGCCTTTACATGTATATGTTTGTCGGTGTTCTCGAATTGCTATATTTGACTAACCCGGAAAATATAGTTCACAATATTTGCTAATACATACATACAAACAAACATATATCCTTACATACATACATGCATGCATACATACATACATACATACACGCATACATACATACATACATACATACATACATACATATATACATACATACATACATACATACATACATACTTGCATACATACATACATATATACATGCATGCATACATATATACATAAATACTTTCATACATACATGCATACATACATACATACATACATACATATATACATACATACATACATACATTACATTACATTACATACATACACTGTATATACTTCCTATTTTGGCGTACTGCGGCGAATGTGCGGAAACGAATTTGAGATCAATCATATCAAGCTGTGTGAGCTTGTTCGCAGATATACTTAGTCTGGTTGACATATGTGTATCGCGTATCTGCGGCGAATGCGTGTGCGTGGCCAGAACATAAATATGTCGAAATATTGAAAATATACACAGGTACCCTACACAACAGTACATGTACCGTACCAAGTGGGTATGAATAAAATAGTATCCGGATATAAAATGGTGTGCAGCTGACCAAGTGTGAGCGTAGACGTTCATGTGACGCTCGACGTGCACGCCCTCGTACATATGGCACTACAGTACCATCCGGAAATACGACCCCACCGCACCTACCTACACCTACAGTCACACCAAACATGTCAGCCACAAAGCATACCCGGTATTCCTCGATCTTTTGCAGGTATGCTTCGATGTTCAGTCCCTCGGCTAGGGCCCGAGACTCCAAGGCATGAAGGCGGTGCAGATTCTTACACACCTGCTTATACGCCACCAGTGACAACCGAGATGATATCACTTTCGCAGGCGCAGCCGGGTAGGGAATCCATACGACCAGCCTCGACACGTTCACTCCCCCATCGGCTGGGAGGATTATAAGGTATAGTTGATTATAGCTAGGAATGGGTAGGTATGGGTAGGTATACATAGGTATACGTATGTATACGTAGGTATATGTAGGTATAGTAAAATTTGGGTAGGTATACGTAGGTTTCAGTAAATTATAGGTAGGTATATAGTTCTGTATGAGCACTAATGGGCATGCCTAAATACATACAAGCGATCTATAGAAAGCCCTTTCATCCAGTACAAAGTACTATAGTTCTATGTGAGCACGAATGGGCTTACCTAAATACCTACAAGCGAACAATGGAAGGCCCGGTCAAAACACGCAACTCGTCAGCGACGCACGAAATGATAGGCAGTCCCCACAACGCAGGACAGTATCAATTGGCAAGTACGTACAGATGTACGGCGAAGGACACAGACAGGACTACAAAAACTATACATTCACCTATATGTGCCACAGGTACAGATGTACGGCGAAGGACACAGACAAGACTACAAAAACTACACTATCATACCCACACCTATGTGGCAATAGCATCCAACATCATGAGTGAACACCGAGACACAGCTCCAGACAATCATACCTATATCTATCAGTCTCGCAAACAAGTATATCTATGAATATATATATAATACTTCAAGGCGGCGTTTAAACCCCCATTCTTCATCAATACTGGAAACTAGGAAGATTTCTAACGTAAATAATCCTTATTGAGCTAGAGCTGGTAGGATACGTGCATGGTACTAATAGTTAAGAACAAAGTATCCCAGACCATGATCAAACAACACTCACTTTCGAAATACGCATCATTTGTTCCCGTGAGATTCCACGTGGTCTTGTCCTGTGGATATTTATCGGCCACCGACTGTGCTAAGACGGTGATCTGAGTGGTGTTGTAACCGCCAGGAAGGTCGCTGTCGACATAGTGCTGTGTTGGATATGAGGTACACAGAAAAAAGTATGGGTTGAGTTCGTAGTCAAACCGGATGTTTTCAGATAAACATTAGTATTATACTGTAGCTACTGAAGTGATTCACTCCCTATACATAGTGCTGTACAGATTAACAGACATGTTGGTACTGATTGAGCTGATAGTGCGGCCGATTGAGCGAAGGCAGTGATCTGTGTTGATTTTGCAATCGTAAGGGAAGTTGCACATTGAATAATACTGTGAAGAAAGGAATAAATACCAGCTGAGCAGGTAATACGGTTTATACGGATGTGGAGACGCAACGAAAGCGAACCTAAACGGTATCTTTCGTGACAACAATATGAATATATGACGTTGCCCAATGATACCAGAGAAGCATAGTCTAAGGACTGCTATCATACTACGTATTTATGTAAGGGTAGGACACCATATGCAATGGATGTGTCAATCCTACGTATAACATGGGTCAGGCTACATACTAGGGACACGGCCAAGATATATGAGAATACAAATGCAGAGATATATGTACTAATCTATTACAAGCATGTACAAGGTCACTAGCATGGGTGACATAGAAGTGACATCAAAACTAAGTGAGGGGAGTAGGTACAAATATGTGTACATACCTCGCAAACCCTAAAAACCCTACAAACCCAAAACCCAAATCGAAATGAAAAATAAAGAAAACTTTGACCAGAAAATCTACACCAATGTAGTTGTACGCAAACACTGATACGTTTAAAATTTATAATAAAACAAAGAAAGACATACACAATACATGAGTGTCCATATGAAATTG